ATTAAATTGAGAATCTATCCAATTAACTAAATTTTCAATAGGTTCTATAAATACTTTTTTCACTCCAGTTTCTTTCATAATTGAAATTTCTTTGGTTATTTTTTTATAATTCAATTGAAATAATTTTTGTTTCTCTTCTAATTCCTGGTCAATTGTAATTACATCTTCTAACGATGATAATAATAATCCTGTTTGATAAAGCTTCTTGTTTCCTTCATTCTCTTCGTCTTCAACAGTATCATCATCTAAGTCTATAATTTCCACATCCACTACATCCTCATAAACTGCAATTTCCTGTTCTTCGGAAGTAACAGTACTCGCAATATTTTGCTCTTCTTCTTGTTCCATCGAATGTGCTTTCTCCATTTTTTTTTTTTTCTAAAAAATTATTAGTTAGATAACGATTAAGTTATAGTGTTGGTAGATTGTGGGTTTTATAATGTTAAAGTAAGCAATAAAGATAGAGCGAAAATAAGAATTTTGGCAATTAATTAAGTTTTTATTATAAATAAATATTTTAATGGCGAAATTTTTAAATTAATAAATAATTTTCTATTTTTTTTTTTTTTTTTTACAAGAAAAGTCTTAAAAAATAAATACAACTAATAAATATATAAATTTTTTATTATTTATTATTATGATTTTTTAATTGACAACAAAAAAATCCAGAAAATAATAAAACAAAAAAAAAAATGAGAAAGATTTAGTATAAATGATGATTATTTTGGAAAGTTAATGTTGACCATTGTGTTTATTTGTGCTGGATTTTTTTTTTCAATCAAATAAAGAAAGAAAATTTGGAAATTTGCGGCGTGTAACCAATTTTTGAAACATTTTAGAATCAGCCAACCTTGACTAATTAGCCAAAAAAAGACTTTGTCGTGTGATTCCTTTCTCTCTTAAGACACTACTAATCCTGATTAATTTTAATTAATAAAAATTAATAAAAAAGATTCCCTTTGAATTAGTCGCCAAAGAATTATTTATTAACTTTTCCCAAATTTGTTATTTCACCACGAATTTTTCATAATTATGCAAAATAAAAAAAATAAAAATTCAAAATCGGGGTAAAACTTTACCGATAATAGTGATATTTGTCATCAAACATCATTATTATCCGTTATTGTCATTGGCATATATTAATTAAATCTATTAATTATTTTTCAAAAAAAATAGAGTTATGACAGTTCGCAGATCTTCTCGTATAGCTGCAACAGTCGCTGCTGCT